TGTTTGTACATCACATGTTATGCCAGATTGTGTATTGTCACTTTGATCTCCAGACTCTAACCAATCTGTGACTCAGTACTGGAAGCACTGAACAAAAACTTTAGTGGTTTTGAGACTTGATTTTACACATTTTTTTAAAAGTGATGGACTTTGTAATTGACCATTGGTTGCAGTGAGGCAGAGCTTCTTCATATATTGTAAGATGTTGCAAAAACAGTGATCTCTGTATAACTGACAAGTTTTTGAAGTTTTGAGTGCTTTGTCAAATATTTTCAAAACTTACATATAAAATCCACAAATATCAAAAGCACTTTTTATCTGTTGACTGAGACATGACAATAACCATGTCATGTAATATTTAGAAAAAATTTATGAGATGAACGTTTTAAGATTCTGATGCCTCCTAGAGGTACAATGTCCATTGACTGTCACAGTAAATCTTAGATTCTGAGCATGTACACAAAATTTGGTTACAATAACTGAGTTTATGTAAAAATTCCGTCAGCAACACACTTAAAAAAAAAAAAAAGTTACTCCAAAAATGAAAAAAGGCAGATGTGCAGCTGCATCCAGATTATTATTATTATTTTGGTTTAAAAAAAAATAAATTATATGATCGAATATAAAACGTACTTCAGTCATAAAAGAAGCTGATCAAAACCATGGCCCCGGTACAGGCAATTCTAAAATCAGGCTAAAAGGATGCCATGGCCCCGGAACAAGCATTTCTAAAATCAGGCTCAAAGGGTGCCATGGCCCCGGAACAAGCATTTCTAAAATCAGGCTCAAAGGGTGGTGTATTAATTAATGTATGAAGTAACCATGAATTAGGGTTTCTTAACTACTGATGAAGTTAGAGTGAATTAAGTAGTTAATACCAAATTGAATTCATAGTGATATATAGGAATTCATGATTAATTCATGATCAGTTACCCATTAACTTATCATAAATTAAGCATTACTTAAGCCTATGAATTGGGCCGTTATTGTAAAGTGTTACCTTCCTCCTGTAGATGGATATCAGAAAATTCTTGTTTTTTCGAGGCAAAGGGAGGGAAGCAGAAAGGAGAGATGAGTTTGAGGGAGGTTAAGACAAATGTTGTTGACAAATGAGCTATAGCTAACAGACTTGCAGGTCTGTGTGTAGTTGTGAACGGTCATTCAGGGCACTGAGACGACGCCACACTTGGCTGAGGTGCACAATGGGCCAAGACAGGCCTCACCATCTTGCTGTCTTACCAGTTGAGCAGAAAGAACTTTGTAAACTGAGTGAGAGTCAAGTTATTGATGAGTAACTCATTTTTGTTGTACTGGATGCACAGTGAACTTGTAATGTTTGGACACGCATCAAAACAAAGTCAAACTATACAGGCAATCAACAGGCTAAAACAAACATGAGAGATTTAGCCTCTACATCTATTTTACCTCCTGCTGCTAGGTGTTATGTAAGGCTGGCTTGATTGCAAAAGGTATAGATTCTGTTGTTGATGCTACCTCAGCTTTTCAGATGTTAAAAAGTGAAAATCTGGTTGCAAATGCTGGTGGTTATGTAATGTGCCCAGGGTGGCCTCAGACACCCCAGATATCGGTCAGGCAACAGTCAAAGGGGCCTCTTCCTCTTTCCAAGTCAGCCAGAGCATGCTTCATCCCACCTTTTTCTCTAACCTACTTAGCTACTTACCTACAACTATTTCATTGGTCAAAGTGAACTTGAAACAAGGTTCAATGATTGCCATCCCTTGTTTCATAACACTAAAAAAAAAAAGAAAATCCCCCTTTATATAACTTTACAACTATGGGCTGTGCCTGTGAACACTCTCACCTTTCCTGTTGTCAAGGCCATCACCCTTGCTCAGGTTGGGCAGCCATCCAAAAAATGCAGTGATAAGCCTTTTTCTCTCTCTTACCTGCCTTAAGGCTACTGGGGTCATTTCCTAGTCAACTTTATCACTTCTGCCTGTATAACCCTTATCAGCCTTGTATACATTAAAATAAACACAGCAAATAAAACTAAATTAAAGCACACAGAGCAACTTAGAACAAATAAAACAAACAAATCAACACTGTCCTTAGCTCAAATACATGGTATCCATTCTTCTGTTCAAACTCAATTATTAAACATAATGTCAGTTTCATGTTTACTGTAATAAAGTATAACACTGCAAGAAATAAAAAATACAAGAAATGGCACAGAAGCATTTAACATTTTCAAAGTTTCCACTCACTCAAAGTATTAAATATTAATTCATAGTTGTGATAAATATTGTTTTATTTGCTGATACAAAACAGCCAAATAATGTTGTGCCTGTATGTAGCATCCGACCAGATGTCTACGAGGCATTTTACATCTTCATGACTCCAAGTTTGCCCACGTTTCATCCTGGTGCATGTTTTGGGTGACAGGAAATAAAATGTACCCATAATCCAATGCCCTCAAATCATGTGATTCACGGCCTTTGGTCCCGTTTTGGTTCGGTAC